GTGTTTACATTGCTGCCTAGTAACGCCTCTAAGTGTAGTGACTCAGATGGCCACCAGAGGTGATTTCTATTTCAGTACTGCACTGTGTGTAGCGCCTATGTTTAGTGTTTCCACACTCTGCATTGAATATTCAATACATCTCTCTCATAACTAGATCCACCATAATACTCAATTCTAGACCCACGAAGCTTCAATTCAGCACTGTTTGTACCTATAACTGTTACTGGGATTGTAAAATAGATTATCTTACTTTTGGTTGCTCTGCTGACAAACCCTGTTGTATCAGGCTATTGAGATCCTTCTTCTGCTACAGTCCACTCAGACATTGTGCTGTCTAAGTCAACCCAGAAAGAGGAATAACTTGAATGAATGGGTGAAACACGATTCTGATAAAAACAAACAAACAGGTGAACAAAACAATAAAGTAATACTAAGGTAGGTTATTAACGAAAGCAAAAATTCAAGGTGAATTTCACATTTAAGGTCAAAATAGCCGAACTGGAAAAAACTCAGATAAATTTGAAATTCACTTTAAATTCTCACTTTAGTGAATAACTCTGATAATAATATTTTATTATTAAATAATTAGATGAAATAATTCTCTTTGATTTGCTTTATATATATATATATATATATTACATGCCAATAAAACAATTGGGTCTCTAATGTAAGAATTTTATTAGTGTTAATTACAAATTCTAGCCATGTACACCAGGATTTATTAAAAATATCATGTCCTTAGAAAGTATCTTTCAGTTTGGCGGCTAATAGGGTTAGACAAAACTCTTCTTAAAAAAACAAACAAAAAAAAAACCTCAAATGCAAACCCAGATGTAGACCACACTCATATAGTAAATGTTTTAATGGTAACTATACATTCTTTGGCAAAAAGCAATGGAAGTTCACTTAGTTAAATTCATCCAAATAAATGTAAAACAAATGTCAGAATGCTTGCCAAACTTAAATTTGTATAATATTCAAAAAAGAAAGGTATAGACAATATGCCAACAAGTGGAGCGCTATGGTAAGTGTAAATAGTAAAGGGGTACACTTACCCCTCCAATACAGTGATAGTCTTGAAAATATATATCCAAATATACATATAAAACAAAACAAAGAAAGAGAATATATAGTGCAGATGGTTTGACAAATGAAAGCAATTGATGGTAACAAGATGCTTTAAACCACTCACATTGGAGCCTATATAGAATTGGCTCCGTAAATGACTCCTTTTTGCTTTTAAGGCAGCAACACACCCCTTTGTCCCAAACGATATTCCTTAAGGGATATACAACAGACAGAAAAAAACCTGATAGGTAGTATTGTATGGAAAAAGATAATAAAATCAGTGATAAAGGTAGTGCTCACCTTTAACAGAGCCTTAAATTCCCGGCTCTGAGGTAGATAGACAGTATGGTAATTGGATCAGGGTAGCAGGTAAATAAAAGAAATAATAATTTATTGAAATAAAAATAAAAACAATGCTACACTAGTAAAGAGCACATAAATAAAAATGAGAAAATTTGGATTTTTATTCATGTTCATTGAACAAAATATTCACCCGTCCTTGCTGGTTACTGTCTAAACAAGCATCTTCTTTTCAAATAATTTTTATTGAAAATTTTATAAAATTACAACAAATTATATAAACATTATAATAAGTGTAGGGAAGGGAAGGGGGACTTGAAGGAAGGAAAGGGGATCCATCCACTGTAACAATTAATACAGTAAGGTACAAGGTATACACTTTGAAATGATACATTGCAACAATAAAACACAGTTTTACAAATTATAGACTTTTTTTCATTTCGTCTTCCCTTAAATCACAATCATATTTTAATTTTGCAATAGGTGCGAGTTGCTTCTATGTGATAGTTCATGTGCTTTATTTTCTAGCTAGGACTAGGTTCAGTACTTCTCTGAGTGATGGTGTATTTTTAGACTTCCATTACCTAGGTAAACAAGAGGTGGCGGCTATCAGGATGTGACCTACTATTATTTTATTAATTCTGCTGACGGACTCAGGGAATTTCTTGAATAAAGCAAGTTCAGAGGTTAAAATACCAATGTTTCTATCTAGCTTAATAATTAAGTCATAAATCATTCTCCAGTACTTGGTTATTTTTGGGCAATACCACCATATGGGTTGATGTTCCAGGAGGGATAAACCAAATGGCAAATGATTTAGGTAAACTAGAAAAATGGTCAGAGTTGTGGCAGCTGACATTTAATGTGGATAAGTGCAAGATAATGCATCTTGGATGTAAAAACCCAAGGGCAGAGTACCGAATATATAATAGAGTCCTAACCTCAACATATGAGGAAAGGGATTTAGGGGTAATTATTTCTGACGACTTAAAGGTAGGCAGACAATGTAATAGAGCAGCAGGAAATGCTAGCAGAATGCTTGGTTGTATAGGGAGAGGTATTAGCAGTAGAAAGAGGGAAGTGCTCATGCCATTGTACAGAACATTGGCGAGACCTCACTTGGAGTATTGTACACAGTACTGGAGACCGCATCTTCAGAAGAATATTGATACTTTAGAGAGGGTTCAGAGAAGGGCTACAAAACTGGTTCATGGATTGCAGGATAAAACGTCCCAGGAAAGGTTAAAGGATCTTAACATGTATAGCTTGGAGGAAAGACGAGACAGGGGGGATATGATTGAAACATTTAAATACATAAAGGGAGTCAACACAGTAAAGGAGGAGACTATATTTAAAAGAAGAAAAACTACCACAACAAAAGGACATAGTCTTAAATTAGAGGGACAAAGGTTTAAAACTAATATCAGGAAGTATTACTTTACTGAGAGGGTAATGGATGCATGGAATAGCCTTCCAGCTGAAGTGGTAGAGATTAACACAGTAAGGGAGTTTAAGCATGCGTGGGATAGGCATAAGGCTATCCTAACTACAAGATAAGGCCAGGGACTAATGAAAGTATTTCGAAAATTGGGCAGACTAGATGGGCCGAATGGTTCTTATCTGCCGTCACATTCTATGTTTCTATATGTGGGCCATATTTCCCAAACCGCCACAATCTCTCCAACACTGGTCAGAATACATGTTATTCATGTTATGTAATCTAGACGGGGCTAAGAACCAACGTTATAACATTTTTAAATGATTTTTAAAATGGTCAGAGCAAAAAGATATTCCTTTTAACGCATTAAAAAACCAAAACCATTCCTCTAACTCGTATTGGATACCCAGCTCCGTCTCCCAAGATAGCATGTGCTTTAGTTTAACAGTGGGTTTGGCATTATGTAAAGTAACACATTGATATTGTGCCCTTCCTATTTGGATCATGCAAAAGCAATTTTTCCAGTGGCGATATTTCTAATCAGGGCCGGCCCTACCATTAAGGCGAATAAGGCATTCGCCTGGGGCGCCGGCCTCTAGGGGGCACCCACCGAGAGGTTTCCCGGTGGGCTGCCCTGCTATAGCTGTCTGGGGTTGCTGTGCTGGGTGAATGGCTCCTTAGCCACCCCCAGCGCAGCCACTCACCTGCTGGGCTCACTCGGCAGCCGATTACCTGCTGGGCAGTGGGGTTTGCTGTAACCCGAACAGAGCACTGTACATCATGCAGGCAGGGGGAGCCTGTGAACACTGGAAGCACAGTGAAGGGAGCAGGAAGTAGCCTGTGCTCACAGTGCATAGTTCTCCTGCTCCCCCAGGAGAAAGAGCAACATCCTGGATCCTGCAGCCTGGACCTCTGCTCATCACAGCACCCAGGTATGGCATGGTTAAAGGGGATTGCTTATTGTGTGCATGTTTGTAAATGGGGGAGTGTATTAAATTGGTGTGTTTGTGTGTGTAAATAAAGTGTGACTTTTTGTAAAGTTTGTGTTTAAGTGACAGTGTGTGTGTTAATGAGAGTGTGTAAGTGACATTGTGTGTTAGTGAGAGTGTGTAAGTGACATTGTGTGTTAGTAAGTGTGTGCAAGTGACACTGGGTATGTGTGTTAGTGAGAGTGTGTAAGTGACTGTGTGTGTGTGTGTGTGTATTAGTAAATGTGTGCAAGTGACACTGGGTGTGTGTGTTAGTGAGAATGTGCAAGTGACTCTGGGTGTGTGTGTGTTAGTGAGAATGTGCAAGTGACTCTGGGTGTGTGTTAGTGAGAATGTGCAAGTGACTCTGGGTGTGTGTATTAGTGAGGATGTGCAAGTGACACTGTTAGTGAGTATGTGTTAGGGAGAGTGTGCAAGTGACACTGTTAGTGAGTATGTGCAAGTGGCACTGTGGGGTGTTAGTGTGTAACTGACAATGTGTATGCCAGGAAGAGTGTGTAAGTTAGTGTGTGTATAAGTGAGAGTATGTAGGTGACACTGTGTATGTTAGTGAGAGTGTGCAAGTGACAATGTGTAGGTCACTGAGAATGTGTATGTGTTAGTGTATAAGTTAGAGTAAGAATGTGTAAGTGTGTATGCCTGTGAGAGAGTGTGTGTATTTGTGAGATTGTGTAAGTGACACTGCAAAGTTAATTATTGCAATTTTTAAGAAACTTCAATAATTACCGTTCAGGGTTAACTCCTCTAGGGGCTATGCATGGGGACGTCCAGTCACGGAAATGCCACTGTGAGCGCGGCCATTGAGAAACGAAGGCGGACCCAAGCCAGCACAAAAGACATTGGTGCTGGACCCAGGTAAGTGACAGACGATGTTTTAACCCCTGCTGCACCACAAGGGGGGATGCGCTTGACAGAAGGGGAAGCTATAGTGCCAGCATAACAAGTTTGTATTCCTTGCACTATAGTTTCCCTTTAATATCTACTCAATGCGCCTCTTTCCCTAAATGTCTCTTTGGTGTAATTCAGAGTTTAGTGAATAAACCTAGGGCGGCAAGAATCCTTGCACCGGCCATGTTTCTAATGCTTTGTAATTTTTGTCGGTATTAAACAAGCATCTTCTTTTTTTTTTTTTTTTTTTTTTTTTTTTTAGGTAGGTACAAGGAATCAACAGACGCCACAACAGCGTATTGGAAAATATACATTGGTATAACAGTGGCATGAGAGACTGCACATTTTTAAAATTTTTAACAAGTTTGGTTAAACAGTTGCGTCGTCTTTTGTAATGAGAAAAATAACAGACTGGGGACACTTTAAAGGTTTTAAACATGCTATATACAGGCTAGCTTTGTATGACTGTTGCGGTGGGTCACGATGGGGTTTCAAGCTTGAGACAGTAAACATACAGTGGTTCTAGAGATTGGAGTAGTCAAGTGCTTAGAGAGTGGATTCAGGTTAAATTCGTAGTCATATTGTATAAGCACGGTTGCAGTTAGCGGTAACTTGATGTAAAACTACATTAAAAAGTTAAACTGTGTGTATTTAAGCTTAGACACAACATACAGCAGTTAACATTGCTAGAGTTAGCCTTCATTGTGTAACCCTGTTTCTATTCACTCTGAGCATAAAGGTGCCCTGCATAAAAACAATGGTAACATTCAAAAGCAGTTAGTGGAATCTGCACATTTTTAAAGGTAGATACTGACATGCATTAGAACACAGGTGCAAAGGATAAACAGCGGCTAAATGATCTTTGGTTAACAAGCTAATTGCCTGTGGTTATTATATTGTGTTGCTTGCTCCACTGCTGCTATATGTATCTTACAGTCTCTGCTGTGAGATGTTAGGGCCAGTTCTGAGCTCAGTGTGAGACATACTGTGCGGTGGGATCGTGCAGAGTCTCTGCTGCAGGGGCACAGACTGTCTCTAGGTCATGCCGTCTTGGTCAGCCGACGCCGGCTCTGAGGGATTGGCATGTGGGTCCAGGGCGCTGCGAGGTCCCTTCCCCTGTTGGTTGTTGCCGCTGTGTGTGGATATCCCAGAAGTGGGTCAGTATCACCTCTAAGCTCTGCAGTGGGTCTCTCCAGCGCGGTTGTGTCGGTCGCATGGCCATCCTGCATATCCCGCTGCCGGCCGCCATTTTAGGTGCGCCTTGTAGGAGGTTGTAGCCTTGCTTGTCAGGGTCAGGCTTGTACTGCTGTCTCTGCTGGTGATTGTGGATGTCGAGTGCGGGCCGGGATGACCCCCGCCGGCCCAGGGGGGGGGGGAGGAAGGCTGGTGCACTGAGGGGTGTGTGTGCGGTTTTACCATCCAGAAGAGCGGCCGTCTCTCCCTGGCTCGGCCGCATGTAGGCCCCATGTGCTTTGCGTGGGATCCCGGGCAGGGTGAGTCTCGTGTGTGGGTTCCTTCAATGCCCCCGGGTTTCCCCAGCTCGTCCCATGCCCTCTGACTTGTGGGTGATTTTGTGTTTGGGGTATTTTTCCCCATTGTTGTCGTTTTTTGCAGGAGCTGGTTTGCAGCACGTTTATCCTGCTCGGCAGTCAGGCTCCGCCCCCCCAACAAGCATCTTCTTAAAGGACAACTGTCATCAAATTTCACAACTTTTTTTATATTGTATTATATGTTATAAAACGTGATCTTTTTTTTCTCAAATTATGTATTGATTTTTTTTTTTCCATTCTTTACGCTTGAGTGGTAGACAGTGATATACAGAACAATAAAGGTAACAGCGTTGACATCATTAGTAAAACATAGGTGCCGGAGGGCATTTTGCAAGTTTACAGTTATTCATGGCCATGGTAGAACATGGGTATAGTTTAACGGTGGGTACAAGCCCACTGGGGCCAAGTCCATGGAGGCTGCTAGTCATGTATTGTGGTCGGGGAGCCCCTGTCTCGTCCATGGTATACCACTGGGAATTTTTTCAGGCCATGTTTCCACCTGCTGGCAATGGGGATCTTTAGTCACTAGTATGATGTGCGCCTTTCAAGTGTTTTATCGGTCGGGTGACTACCCGCCTTTAGAGATTGTGTGAGGAGAGAAGAAAAAAAACAGAAGGAGGAAGAAGTGGTAGGGGTGGGGGAGTTGGTTTCAGCACGGAACTAGGTTGGCGAGGAGGGCCGAGAACAGGGACAGTGCCCAGGCTCCCGCCCCCATCCCCCCCCGAGGCTGCACAGGTCGCAACAGGTAGACCTCCCATGGCTCCAACATTTTCCGGAAAGTTTTTAGTGTACTCCGGACCTGGGCAGTCAGCTTGTCCATTAAATATGTGTCTTTTAGTTTTAAGGTGACCATGTCAACGGATGGGACTTCAGGTTCCAGCCAGGATTGGGCTATGGCTCTTCTAGCGGCCAGTGCGATTTTGTTGATTAGTTTTTGTTCTGGTCTAGTCCAACTGTCTAGCGGCCGACACAGTAGTAGTACCCAGGGGTCTAGTTTCAGGGGTCTCTGGAACACCTTCGTTATGAGGTCTGCGACCTTACCCCACAGCGTGTGTATTTGAGGGCAGTCCCACCACATGTGTTTGTATGTGCCTCTCTGTCCGCATAGTCTCCAGCATTGGTCTGTCGTTGTTTTATGCATGTGATAGAGCTGGACCGGGGTGGTGATGTATTGATTTTTATTTTTAGAATATTCCACTTTTTATCCGACTGTGCAGGCTCTGTAGTCATCTGACCAACTGCTGCTCAACCTCATTCCCTGCTGCTGCAATTGCTCAATAAACATAATTTTAAAAATATCATGATTTCATCATCTAAATTAAGTTGTCATGGTGCCAGAAAATTCCCGGGCACTCTCTTACCTTAATGGACTAAACCATTCTAGAACGGTGTAACCCAAAAGGCTTCCTTAGGCGATGGATCTTCAGGTCCCCCAGCGGCAAAGATATGTACCTTTTTTATGAATGGGTAACTACTGATTGGCTTTGAGTATTAGTTGACGTCTCTAGCCAATCAGTGGCTCCACTGCCAGGCAGCACCCTGCCCTTCCTAAAACTCAGTTTCTTAAGCTGGATGCCATTGGGAGATCTGGAGGTCCAGTGCTGGAGGCAGCCTTGTTCAAGAAAAGTTTTACTCCCAAAAGGTAAGAGAGTGCCAGGGGCCTCCTGGCACCATAACAAATTAATTTACTTGAAGTCGTTATGGTGACCGGGGTGTTCCTTTTAATTTTCATTAAATGCAATAAAGTTAAATGGGAGGTGGAAAATGTATGACAGTTGTCCTTTAGAGTATAATAGAGGACATTTCATGCTAGCTAAAATAAATATTTCCTATGGCTGTAACATGGGCTATTCAAAATAATTATACTCAGGGTGGATTACATGATTTATGTTCTGTGTTTTTTACTGTTTATTTGTCTATGCTGATGTAAATCAAATTCTCTAGATCAGCGGTAGGCAACATTTGGCTCTCAGGATGTGGACTCCATCTCACCTGATACTTTGCCAACTTTGTAGTGGAGGGAGGTGTAGACCACAACATCTGGAGTGCCGAAGGTTGACTACCCGTGCTCTTGAAGTAATGTCCACAGAACACATGAGTATACAGTGCCAAGTAATTTGAGATTGCATTAAACACACCATTTCTTTGATATTTGATCCTTTTTAATGAATACTTTTTTTTACCACTGGTTGATTTTTATACCATGTACTCAAATATATTTTTAAAATGAATGATTTTGTGTTCTCTCCTTTAAGTGATTCATTTGGAGTTTTATTCCTAAAAATGACATATTGCCTTTCACATTCATTAACCACAAACCAGTTCTCTGAATCAGCGGGGTAACGCTCCTAATTTTAGAACATAGAAAGTTTCGAACATAATTGTACTTTACGAGAAAAAACACAAAACAAAGAACATTTTAAAACTTGCTTCCTGTGTCTTTAGAAATTTCACTCAACTCTCTTTTCTTTAAATGTGCTTTTGCATTGTTTGTTTTGTGAACACACCTTTAGTAGTTAAAGTCTTCAGTGACTATATTTTTTTCGATTCCTATTTCCCGTATTGCTAGAATGTAGAATGCTACAAGATCTGTTCAATTAACTGTCAATTGCCTATTGACGTCACAACCTACAAGAACAAAGCTCGAAATGAATCACAGGTTTTCATAGAATGGTAACTGAAAAAAAAAAAAAAGATCTCCATAGCTCTTATCTAGAAAGGCAGAACGTAAAATGTAAAGATTTACGAGTTCATATGAGCAAAAACCTTTTTTATTCTTCTGGAATATGAGACACAAAATGAGTCATGAAAGAAATCTTTTCAATGATAGTGTAACGTTGTTAGATTGTTCTAGAAATGTTTCCCATATTACGAATTCACTGCTTATGATGGCAAAATGTGAGAAGTATTTTGCTTGTAGCAGCAATTCTGTCAGCAATTTTTTTTTAAATTCTTTTATTTTATTTTATATAATTTGTCTGAACAAGTTTTATTTGGTTTTAATGCAAATAATAGTTATATAAATGCCTCAAAAATTATTTCCAAGTATTATGTGTGCTTAGAATGTGTGTATGTACTTTGGGTGGAGGGCAATATAAGTAACATAACCAGTGCAGCTCAGCATGATGGTTATGCTGCCATAAGTCACACGTGTACTTCTTGTTCTGGCACTTCTTCTGCACTCTCCACAATGACCTAACATGCAGGTACATACTCTCTATATCTCATTCTCAGTTTGTGAAACCCATGTAATGAGGTGGAGAGATCTAAAATTATTTAAAACCTTTCCATGTATGAGAGACATAAACTCACCATTGTACACACTAGACATGTCCACGGGAACAATTTTTGGTTTATTTTGTTTTGTTAGTTTCAAAGTTAATCGGTTTTCAATTCGACCAAAATTTGTTGCTGTGTCTATTCGGTTCATCTGAAACTCTGCAAAGTTTTCATTGGGTAATTACATTTCGGTCAAAATGCTGGAGAATGGAAAGAAAAATACATCTGCAATAGTTTTAAATTACTAAAAACGGGAAAACTACTCTTAAGATTAATTCTCTCCAATCTCTACTAAGTCTCCTCTCTCTCCATCACTCTATCACCAACTACGAGCTCTTTCAAAACACAACATGAATCATCCCAACCAACCAACATAATGATGCTAGCTCACTGTCTCACATTCTGTGCTCCCACATCAGGAAATGAAGAAAGCCTGACAGGCAGTTTTAGATTGGTCTAAATTTGCAGAAAACTGACAAATGATTGGCTGATAAAACACTCTCTAACTATGCATGATGACTGGTCCATGATTGAAGTTGCAGGCTTGGTAAGAAAACACCTACTGATGCACTGTTTTGGCTGCAGCTTTGCAAGCAACATCGAATGGAGCCAAACAAAAACTCGCAACTGGACCATTTGTTCATTCATTAAATATCAATTTTGCATTTATTTGGTCATTTTAATGTTTGTCCGAAGGTGAGAAGTGAGTGCACATGTCTAGTAGACACATTATTGATCTAATTTAAGTTGTTTCATGACATGCCTTCAATATAAAATGTCTGTTTTATGTAGTTCTTCAGGTCTAACTCCCTGACTCTTTCTGTTCCAGTTGTAGGATTAAATACCCATATAAATCCTATACCAATGCCCATTTCTATTTCAAATTCCTTTTTTCTCTTATTCCCCAATTTCTATGAATTATTTTCCAAACCTTCTACTCCAATTTAATCATCTTGCTCAACACAACTTATCCACCAGATATTTTAGGAACGCCCCACCACCACCACACCATTTTCCCGTTTACCCCTTCCATTCCCCACTGCTATCTTTTCTACTGCTCCTTCCTTCCCATCCCTTTATATCTCTTACCTTCCCTTCTTCACCTTTCCTAGATATATGTACTTATGTACTGCGAACATTTACTAACCAGTGAATTATACTGAATTGAAACTAGAATTTGCAAAACTAAGGACAAAATAGAGTTAGAAAAAAATACATATTTCAAATATATTCCCGACTTTAATTTATGGTCGCAATTTGGCAAATTTAATTTTATATCTACTAAATCTCACTATTTATTGAATAAATACCTTTAACGCCAATGCTTTTCCTTTGTGTTTGCTAAAATTTTACAATTACCTAGGGAAAAAAACCATACGAAATATCAGAAACTAATCTTTACAGTGCAATGGAAAATTGATAATGTTACCAGTGATAATCCAACCATATATACACATCAGTGACTGAATGCAATAAAAGAATGCGTTATCTATGCATCAAAAGTCAGAGTTGCAATATGTTCTGAAAAAAAAACATTTGATCTAATTTCAAAAAAGTCTAAATGAAACATATGACAATTAAGCAAGGTAAAGAGATAAAGTAGCATAAGATCAGATGATTAAATAGTTCCTTAAAGGGAATCTGCAAAAATCAGTTCGGAG